AAATCCCCATCCTTGGAGGTTTTCAGGGTCTGACTGGACAAGAATCTGAGCAATCTGGTCTGAATTCACTGTTGACCTTGATTTCAGCAGGAGGTTCAACTAGGATGACCTCCAGCGGTCTCTTCCAACCAGAATGATTGTGTGATTTTTTTTGTGATTTAATACTTTGGTCATAAACTGAGAAAAAAAATAGCCCACTCCCAGTCACTAAAGTCACAACTCAAATCCAGAGGATACTCCCCAGGCTGAATTATTTGGAATATTTCACTACAATCTGGCCTACCTCACTGCCAGCAAAAAGACTTTAGCAATCAAGGGCAGGGCCAGGAATGCCTGAACCAAAAATGATTAATGCAATATTTCAAATGTTAAACTAATCAGAATATCAGTTCCTGTAACCTTAAATCACTGTTGTATGGAATATAACATTTTTGGTGGTTTGAAATATATCTGTCTATGTTCTGTGTGAGGTTTTACAGTAAGCAAAATGTAGTCATTCAGAGTGTGGAATGGCATGACTACTTTCCTAAGATACACAACAGGAAGTGAGAAGGACTTCTTATAAAATCTGTGTATCTGTGATTTGGGAAGCTTTTTCTGAACTGTGGGAGATGCTTCCTTCTAGGAATTTTCTTGGAAATTCCTAGAATTCCTTCTTGTAATTTTTCTGAGACTTCAAACTTTTTCCTTCAGAAACTGTAGTAGTTCTGTTGTGTCTTAAAATAAGGGAGAAGTTAGTTCTCCTGCTTTCTCATTGTGCTTTTTTGTTGTCTCTGACAAAGGTGTAGCTTGTATCTCTTTGATTGTTTTTTGTTTGGTTTGAGGTTTTTTTGTCTGTGTGGGGTTTTTGTGCAGGTTTTTTGTTTGTTTGTTTGGATTTGAGTTAATTTTTTCCTACATGTTTAGATTATTTATTAGTCAGGTGAGTAAAACAAATAACCAACAACTTAATCTGGAAGCTCACAATTCAGTAGCAGTTCTTTGGATGCAAGGATAATGTTGGAGTAGGTTGCAGATGCAGTTTGTGTGCTGAGTTGGGCAATACAGTCTAACTAACAAGTGTTTGTTTCTCTTGAAAAAAAGTCAAGAGAAGCTCGGTTTTGTCCCTTTACATTCTGCAGGTCAGTTTCCTATCTAAAAAAGAAGAAAAACTTTCCTTGTGTAGTTTTTTCATGCATGTTTCTATGTAGTAATATAGTAAAGTAGAGTAATACATAAATACTAATATATTTTTAAATATGTCATATATAACATTGTTTTGGGTACTATAAGTGGCTTCAGTATCAGCTGTTGATGACAGCTGGCAACCCTTTCCAAGTTAATATTCTGTTCTTTATGAACAGTGATGGAATTTAAATTTAGACTGATGCTCTTGAGATAAAAGACCTAAGGATGTCTTAAAGAACAGAAGAATTCATTTCGTGCTTACTGTGTTGTATAACAAAAGCATTTTCTTTTGTCAGCTTCATTGGGATTGTTCTCCTGTTTGCTCTTTCTTCTTTGCTTTCTCTTGCTATAATGTCCCATCATTAAGATTATGTGGGCAAGTAGGTAAACATCAGTAGCAAGAGATGGTTGTAGCTCTATCCTAAAGAAGTAACTATTTACATCATGATTTAAAACCCTGAAGGCAGTCAGAAAAGGCTTTCAGTACCAAATGTACTGTGGTATTTACCATAATACAGTTTTGATAGCAAAATATATATTAATACCAAGAACTCTTACTATTAAGAGATTGTTCTGCATGTGTGTTAGGTCTTGGTTTTTGTGCTTAATATTCTCATCAGTGGAGAGTTTCTACTCAGTGGAGAGGTTTTGTTCTTCACACAATATTAATGTCTTAAACACGACAGGCTGGAGATCCATGTTATACACTGCAAATACTTGAAGAGTTTAGTTATGTGTGGTATAGGAGCTATGTTTCTTTTTCTTTCTTTCATTTTTTTTTTTTTTATGTGTGTGTGTAGGCTCTTCTAGACTATTTCCTTAACATAGTTTTTCACATTTAATCAGTCATAAAGTCTCCCAGCAGACTGGTCCATTCACACTCACTCAGCTCTGCATCAGCTCAGTTCTGACTCTGCAGGAAATGTCCTCATCACTATATTAGGAAGCTGCTGTCCTGGGTTCAGCTGTAATTGCTATTTTTCTCCTTCTTAATAGCCGGTGCAGGGCTGTTTTCAACTTTAGTCTGAGAATGGTGCTGATAGCACACCAATGTGGCTCATGAAAATTTTTTCGCTATCTCACTTTGTACTTCACTTTTATTGTCTATTCCAGCAATGTCATTTACTTGTATAAAATAAATTATAATACCTCCTTGATTCCTATGGAAAGCTTAAGATATCCAGACATCATGTTGTTTTGGTTATATAGGGAAATCTGAAATCTTTCTTTCCTTCCTTCCTCTAAAAATATTTGTCCATATCTTTCAGTTCTCAGCTGTATCTTCCACTAGGATATTGGTTATATGACCACAATGAAAATACTTACATTCCTATAGACCTGGATGCACTCCAGTGTCTTAGTGTTTTGGAGAGCTCACATTCCTGTTTCACGAAAATAGAAATAGTGACCAATCTGTATTTTATATACAATAGCACACTCTAGTGTGTATATTAATTAGCCATTATGGACTGGTTCTCATCATGTTTAACTTAAATTTTCAGTCTTTTAGTTCTGTTGTATTCAGTGAATCTATTTTTTCTTTATACTTTGGTTTATTGGAGGAGATATGTTTCCTCAAATGAGAAATTACCAGTTTCTTAACAGAATCATTTTGATACTGTTATTATTTTTTTTTTTAATGTTTCTTTGAAAGAAAGAGCTGATAATTTTTGTAGCAAGGAAAATCTTGATGTAATGGAAGAATTGAGTCCAATATAAAGAGTCTTAATGCTGTAATTATATACAGCAAATGTGTGTAAAATGGATTTGAAATTTGTCTTCTAATTGAGTTGCCTGCAGGGAATTACAATTTGCCTTTTTGCATTAGTACAGAAACGAGTACGTCACTCTCTAAGGTGTCAGCTCACACTTGCGGCTAATTCTGAAGATATCACAGCCTTAGAGAAGATAGGCAGCCAGCATCAACTCAGATAACTAGCTTCCATATTATGTATAGTACGAGACTCTTAACTCTGTCACAGAAACATTTGTACAGCTTTGTGTTAACTTACTATCTTATTAGCATTTTTTTCCTGACTTTTTTTTTTTTTTAAGCCTGGTTTATGAATAGTAATGCAAAATGTAAGAAGCAAATAATATCAGTTGACCCCAAAATACGAGTGAGAGATTGAGTTCTGGTGAGGGTCCAGAGAAGGGCAGTGAATCTGGTGAAGGGCCTGGAGCACAAGTCTGATGAGGAACGGCTGACGGAACTGGGATTGTTTAGTCTGGAGAAGAGAAGGCTCAGGGGGGACCTTTTCGCTCTCTACAAGTACCTTAAGGAGGATGGAGCGAGGAGGTGGCTGACCTCTTCTCCCAAGTAACAAATGATAGGACAAGAGGTAATGGCCCCAAGCTACATCAGGGGAGGCTTAGACTGGGTATTAGGAACAATTTCTTCACAGAGAGGGTAATCAGATATTGGAAAAGGCTGCCCAGGGCAGTGGTGGAATCACTGTCCCTGGAAGTGTTCAAACCCTGTGTGGACAAGGCCCTTAGTGACATGGTTTAGTGATAGTCTTGGCAGTCCTGGGGTAACGGTTGGACTTGATGACCTTAATGTTTTTTTCCAACCTAGTTGATTCTACTATCCTATCATTCTATGAATCTTGCAGGGCTTCACAAAAAAAAAAAAAATCAGTTCTAATCAAGAACTCATATTTAGGCCAATGATATGAAGTTTTTATAGCTATCGTTTCAAACCATTTTTCTAAGCCCTTTCAGGAGAAAGGAACTGAATGGCAGAGCAGAAACCACTAATCAAATATAGAGTTACAGACAGATTAATTTATTTTTAATGGTATTGCATTACCTTCCGTAATTAAAGTGAACATGATTTGTTAGACACTAGGTTTTTCTTGTTCAAATATACAGATCTTGGAAAATATAGAATTGTATTAATTAATTTTTAACTTGAATGCCATCCAAAAAGCAATAAGTATGTAGTGAAAGCTCTGTATGATTTTTGCCCTGTAGTCACTGCAAGCTAATGTTTGTGATGAATGCCCTTCTGCTTTCTGCAGCAGTTTTCCAAGGTGATTTAAAGCACCCATGACCTGTTGTACTAGTTTGTCTAAGAACAAATCCCTGAAGCAAAGAGTGAGGGAGGAGGGAAAGTTTTTCATCTTCTTACTAACTGGTAATTTGAAAAAGTGGTGCTATTTGTTGATAAGTCTGAAATGCTGATGAGAATCTAATGAGTTGTTCAAATTGCAGACTTACATAGTAAACCACAGGAAAGCAGTTTTAAGAAAAGGCAAATTATTAGAATATTCCGGTCCATGTTATTTTTAGACAATACTGTGAATTAAATAAAAAGTAAACAGAGCTGTATTTGAAAATGTATTCAGGATGTCTCGTACAAGAATACTTTCCTGGGACCCTTAAGGATAAAAAATAAATCAAAAAGATTTAAAAGCTATGTAATGAGTAGGAGAAGGGTGTGCTCTTCTGAGGAAAATGAGTCTGATTCTAGTAATTTTCAACATTTTTGTTAATATAAGCAGTAAAAAATGTTTATGAGGAGAGTGATTCGGAGCTCCTGCCATCCACAGTTACCAAGAAACCAGAAAAATCAGAGTAACAAAGAAAATTTCAAAAAAAAAAAAAATGAGGACCATTTAGAATTATCTGGGCACTAATCAAGTAAAAGGAATAAAACAAGTTTAATACTAGGGCCATCTTGAATTGAACATATATGTAATATCTAAAGAGCCAAGAGCATATCTTCATGGAAAATACAAAAAATTATGAAAATAATTGGTTTTTACTCTCCTTATTAAAGTTATGTCAGGTGTCTATGTTGTATATAATCTTTCCATGTTTTTGTACAGGAAAAGCATAAGCAGGAATTAGAAGACATGAGAAAAGCTGGACATGAAGCCTTGGGTGTTATTGTTGAAGAATTCAAGGTAAATCAGTTGCTGAGATTATGAAGTTTCCAAATAGTATCATTGTAATAGTTTATAACAATTAGGCACTACAGGCAGTCTTCTTTAGGAGTTAAGACTGTGTTAAACTAATAATATCATTTATATGCAGAAGTGACTTCCATTTTCAATAGAATTTGTAAGTAGTGTCTAATTAATCCCCAAATTACCTCAAGTGTGGAAATTCACCTAAGTAATTCTACTGAATTGTTTAAAAGGCATAGAAAGGAGAATATTACAATGAATACAGTCCTATTTTGCATTCCTTGGGTTTTAATAAAATGAACTGATGCAGATTATTCCCATCAAATGGATTGGACATGGCCCAAATTAGTATCTCTTGCAGTCATGACTGTTGGAATTGTGACTAATCCTCTCTGATACCAGCCAGTTATAATTGAGTGATGCCACTCCAGGGAAAGTTGTATGTAGCATGACTGAATATAAAGCTTAACATTGTTTTTTTAACAATAGCTGTGTAAAAATATACACCATTGATCATACGCCCCAGAAAATAATTCCCAGAATCCCTCAAGCCCCAAATCCTCTAAACTAGTTATTGAGACTCTGGGTTGAACAATAATGGAAAAGAGTTGACTACTTGCCTTTTCTGTATTCTCAGCAAAGATGTCTTCCTACCTTGTGAAAGTGCCTTTCTTTTGGCATACAAAGGAAAAAGAAAGTTACCATTTTTTCAGTTCTGTCTACAAGCTTGCCAAGTTTGTAGCCAGAAGCTCACATTTTTCTTACATTCAGTGCTAATTATTACGCCTTGCAGGCTTACTACAGCAGATTTTTTTTTTCTCTTTTTTTTTTTTTTTTTTTCGTCTGTGCTTAAAATGGGTTACATTTTCTGATAATCACTGTCTGGTATTTGGGAGGAATTATTTGCTATACAAGGGACACACTGATCTTCCATTAGTTATCCCTGGCAGACGAGGTACTCACGTTTAAGACCAAACCCTCTCAATTCCTACCCTTGTTGCGACACGTCTTTTTTAAAATGGCAACAGTGTCAAAAATGGAGCTTACACGAGAAGTCAGATACTGAATGATTTAATTTCAAGGATCTGAATATACCAAATGCCTTAGAATTATTGCAGTTGTCTTTGGAATATTAGCTTGCCAAATGTGCTGGGAAATCCATTAACTGAGACCATTAGACAGTTTGTAGCACAAGCCCTCAAAAACCTTAGCTGTTTTTAAGCATCTCACATTCTTATCTTTCTTTCAACAAATAAACCATCTACAACACAGTCATGAAATTCACATTAAAAAACATGGTAAAGCAAATCAAAAATCAACTTAGTGTTTGGTGTAGGCCAAGTTTCCCTTCTCATGTTTACTTAATTTGGTTTAATTTCTGTCTTTCATGTTGTTATTTTTTTAAACTTTTATCCCTGGTAATTAACTACAGTAAAGTAAATGTAGAGCTTGGAAATTGTACTAGTGGGATCCTGTCATATTGGAAGATATTTACCACAAGCAACATAAGAATTTTTCCTCTGCTTGTTTAATCAAGCTTTTGTTCTGAAATTTTCATAGTTCTGTAAACAGACAAGTTAAGATTTTTAATCTATTTTGTTTATATTTCTCACCACATAAAATATCCTCTAATGTACCTTTAAAGAATATGAGGTTACAGGCAGGTGTGTTTATTCGATGGTATTTATTTACTTAGATTATTTTATGCAATTATTAGTCTTCTAAAAGAGAGCTTACATGAATCAGATGTGTTTCCTTTTATGGAAATTAACTTCAAGATGCAGAGTCCTTTCCAGCTCTTCGTACAGTGAGAGTTTTGTCTATCACTTTTCAGTGTTAGGTGGCTGGGTTTTTTCAGCTTTCCAGAATATAAAAAGATATATTTGCAAAATACAGAATACGTGGGAGCTTTCAGATTGTCTTTCAAAAGTATTTGTATCAATAGCAGACCTGTGAACTGAAAGGTTACCCTCCAATAAACAAAGCAAAAATTTAAGAGATATCATTACAAAATAAGTTAGTCTAGAATCAGAGTATCTTTTTTTAGACATAGTTTATCCCTGGTGAAGAGGGAAAGCTCTTGAAATGTGGCAAGTTCTCAGCTCTTTAAAACATCAGCTTAGGCTGTTAAGTCTCCAAGTTGACAATACCAGCTCAGAAAGGCCTGACACAAGAATAAAAGGATAAATTCAAAAGTTGTTGCAAGGGCTTCTATTTCGTTGCTGACTTTTATACTTGTCCATGTGTGAGTTGCACAGGAATTCAATCAGGCCTTGAGAATAATACAATATTGGGTTTCGTCATGAAGAGGTGATGGCTGGAAAAGGAGAGATTCCTTGTCATTTTTACAGTATGGGAGTACTCATGCAACAATGATGCCACTATAAAAATCTTTATATGGAATCCTGATAAAATCAAGATCTTTAATCAAGACAATCAAGTCTTAATCTTCTGAAGATCTGGCTATCAAAAATATTGTATTATTGATTAAAACATCTTGTTTTCTTAAAAGTAATTGTAAAAATTACTAGATATTTCTCCGTCCCTTTTCAGTTAGGATTTCTTTTCATATGTGTTTCGCACTATAAAACAATAAATATGGTGTGAAATATTGTAATAACTGAAAGGCTTGAAAAATAAGTAATTTAAACTCACATGCCAATAAAACTGAGATATGTAGATAAACTGAGCATAGTGTTTGAACTGTAAGCTGTTCATCATTACTGGTAAACCAGAAGATGTTGAAAATGAAACTGAAGTTGTTATGCCACTTTGCAAAAACCACCTTGCCCTATTCTTGCATTGGATTCAAATGTATTTTATGTTATGTCTTTGAAATACTGGTATAAAATTCAGTTCACACTCTAAAGAGGACAGTTAGTGAAACCATAAAGTTCCTTCATGCCTTGATGCACATCAAAATGTGTTGACCTTTTGTAAAGAATAACTTGAGAGAATATTTTTCCACAGGAAATACTTTCTAACTTAATATGTAAAATATCACAACATGAGCTCTGTTGTAAGCTTTGGTCGCATGGTATGACTGTCAGTGGAAACAATTCAGGAAATTCAGCTCAACCAAAAAACATATATATTCCATAGCATGTAAATGCACACATTTTAATTTTCTGGAGGTTTACCTGAAAATAGCCCTTTCATGAAAATATGCAGTATTTTGGGCTAAAGTGGTTAAGTTGGATTCTGTTGAAAAAGATATTTTCAAAAATCTTTTAAATAGTTTTATTTATATAGTATGTGTACTAGCTAATAACTGAGTTATAACATAACCAGTCAAATAGAATATTTTACTGAGGTGGTGTACCTTTTCCAAGGGTCAGGAAAGAGTTTTGATGGTGTCTTCTGCTCTGTTTTATCCTTCAACAATTGTTTAATTATATTTTGCCCATAAAGTTGTAGAAATTAATGGTGGAGACAGGATGCTGAATTAGACGAATCATTGTCTAATACTATGAAACATAGAAATTCTTATGTAAAGTTGCTGAAATTAATGGTATTTAGTATGATTATATGTTTGAAATAGTACAGTAGTTTTACTCTTCACTAGGTAACTATTTTTGAGGATGACTCCTTCTGGCCATTCTGACTTACCAATTTTGAAGTAAAGAAGGTGTTTGGTGTAAATACATTTTGTATTTGGTTACTTAAGCAAATAATGGTACTTGAGCGGGGCAAAGAAACCAGTGAGGATATTCTTTTGGACCAAGGACTTTGATGCAGTGCTTTTGAATAACGTTATAAACTGGAGTGCATCAGCCCATACATCATGATGTATCATGATGCGTGTTTCATACTGATGTTTCAAGTGAGTTTGTATAACATTTTCAAACAGTGCTACAAACCTAAAAGTCTGGGCTTTGCACAGATTGGAATTGCTTTTATACTGGTTTTCAGGAGAGATGAGAGGAGATGATAAATCCTGCCCTATCTCTTGCCTCCCCCCACCCCCCATTTGTTTGGGGTTTTTTTTCCTTACTAGTTTTTTCCTCCTATTAAAAATGTGAGTTGAGAGAAAGAGATTTGGCAATTTGACACTGTTAGTGAATTGGATTAATTTGGGAGTAACAGTCTATAATTTCAATTTGTAATTCAAGAAGACTTCTCATAAATTCTAGCTTTTGGCCATACAATAATTATTGTTTTGGGCAAGCAGCTGTGCCAGTAGAATAAAGACCCTAGGGCTGGGCAAATAGGCTTGCATTAGAAATGGACTGGAGTTTCAGTCTCTAGTCTTTATTCAGTGATGCAGTTCTCTAGTGTTTCTACCATACATGTATTGTGCTGTCAATTACATTCCAGGACTACTTAATTCTTTGACCATTGCTAAAGCATATACTAGGGTAATTAAGATGTGTATTCCCTTAAAGACACACCAAGGTGATTATGGATAAAGTTAGTAATATGATTTTTCTATCTGGTTTCAACTCAGGGTCTTCCAAAATTATTTTCATGTTTGAAACTTAAAGATGTTAGCTCTTTATTTAAACTCAAACAGGGGTTTAGATTGATTTATTTAGTTAAGTTTTATAACCCATCATATCCGAAATGGATATGAAGACACTTTACAGAGAATGTTCTTGAGGGGTTTCATTCTCTTTGTTCTGTCAGAAGCCACCAAGCTTTGGTTAGTGAAGGAAAAGCAGGATTAATTCCCTAATGGATTTTTTGGGTAAGGAGAGAAATCAGAAAAGAGGGAAGAAGCAGGATTTCTTGAATAGTTTGAAATGTTTCTAGTAGTTTATACTTTAGAGTAAGACTTGTTTTGCTGTCATTGTCATCCTGCAAGTCGTATTATTTGGAGCAACCACACTTTATAGAATTACTGTTAAATGTGAACATGCATGTTACTCCTTAGCTTTCCTGTGAACAACGTGAATTTGTTCTTTAAAAATCTTTCCAAAGTTGTTCCTGCATATGTTTCCAGAAACAATGAGCAGAAAACAAAAGACAGTTCGGCAATGGACTATAATGTGAATGTGCATTTGGAATATTAATTATTTCCAAGTAGCAAAATAGCAAGTAGAAGTTAGAATTTCACCCAAGTGAATTCTAGTGTTTAAACTACCTTATCACAGAATTAAACCATATAGTGTACAGTAACCAGAATGTGTTCTGCCTCCCCTCTACCTCCAAGGATCTACAAGGTTCTAGCGCATTCTACAGTTATGCTATTATTTTGTTATTTATTGCACTGTAATGGCTGCTTTACTAACAGGAATCAATAGATACGGGTGTTAGAGTAAGAACTACAATCAACAAATCTTTGAAAGTTTAGAACTTGGAAAAATTTGGCTTTACCTCTAGGGGTTCAAGAGCTATTGCCCTATTCTCTTGGAAAGGAAAATCATAACTGAGGAAGTGTGCAGACTCCTTATTTTTGTGAAATTCCACTGGTTTTAGTCTTGATAACAGGACCATATATGATTTCTTTCATTTGTTTTTGAAAGGAAGAAAATACAACTATACATCAGACTGGAATGTCTCTGATACCTGGCAGGTTTTGTAAACGGAACAAAGGTTTGCTATTCCATATCTCACTCTGGTAGCTTCTTGTCACTTCTTTGAGTCATCTTAAGTTCCTATACTGAAACTGAGAATACCAAGCTAGATTAGTTGTTAAAATATGAGGTATTTTATTCCTGGACCATAACAATGTTCTCAGTGCTACTTTTTATTACCATGTTCTTTTATAAGCCAGAACAGCTAGCTATAGATTCAAGTCCAAGGCTGAAACCTTGACCAACTTTCAGCTTTGATTAGCTAAGAAGATATGCCAAGTTGAAAATGAATTGTAACTGAACCAAATATAGTAAAATAGTGTCAGTGTAGACATTAATTCTTGGTTTTCTCAGTTAATGGGATTTTAGCCAGTTTAGTAATGGCTAAAGTGGAATATGAAATGTGAGGTAGAAGGAAATGTTAAAAGACCATGTATATCTATGTTTTTCTTATCACTTGAAGCTGTGGTGATACTTTTTGTTTTCTTTTCAGGAATCAGAGGAAAGATGTTACTGTTGTTATTTATTATACCTAAATATACTTTGATCATTTAGTACATAAACTTTGTAAATTCTGGAGTTTTTTTATTAGTGGAAGGGCATCAGTTCAATTGATGATGTGCTTGTGATCGTAACTATGGTTATACAGCTGCTGTTGTGGCTGCAGTTTGTTCTTATATTCATGCATGGCTTTGTACTGGTATTTTAAGCAAACTGCTTTAAGTAGTTTATCTAAAGTACCACATTTCTTTAAACTGTTCCTTCATACAGTGACTTACATAAGAAGTTTGGAGGCAGAGTTTTGAAAGCTGAGGAAATTACAAATGGGAAAAGAAGATCTAGCAACTGCCTGAAAAGAGGACTGTTTATTTGGCTCTACTGAAGACCTAAAAGGCGACCTCACTTTTGGTTAAAGGCAGATGTAGTTTGGGCTTGTGAAGTGTGTTATGCTGAAGAAGGAGAGGAAGAATTAAAAAACAAAAAAAGGGGTGGGGGAAAAAGCCATGAAGCAATAAGGACTAGTTGCTAAATGTAAAGAAATTCCAAAAATCTGAATCCACCAATTCCTTTGTGACAATAACAAGTATAGTCTCAGGCAACAAATATGATAGGGGTGTAGAAACAGATCTACAAGACTGACACCTCTTGACGTCACAGTCCTGAAACTGGCTGTTGGGTACAGGGTGAGCCTTTCTAGCCTGTTTCAAGGAACTTCATAGCACACTATATGAAAGAAGAAATTAATTACCAATAGCACTCATATTGAAATCCTACCCTATGAACTTCATGCAACAGATGCCATAGACTACATTCTGCTATAAACTTACTTGAAATGATTCAGTGAGCTATTAAAACAAGACTGCTTCAAAAATGCCAGCTTGATATTAGGTCAGTGGCTACAGATTTATGGAACATCAGCCCACCAAGATAATTGTGTAATTAATTAAGGAAGAAAGTGGTGTTTCAGCAGTGATAAGCAGTTACCCAGAGTAGCAATTAGTCAAAAGACTTTTAGTGTCATTGTACTGAAGGAAGTATGTAACTAAAAGTTTGAGATGCCTATCATCAAGTAGCTAAAAGTATGTTTTAGTTTAGAAACTTAGTTAATTAGTAAATTAGGGGTTTAATTAGTAATTCAAATAGTTGGATATCTTAAAATTTGCAAACACTTTGAATGAATATTATGCATCTCTGCTGTATTTACCCCATCAAGAAATCTTAAATGGTAGCTGTGATCAAAGAAAGTGACCTCATTTTTTAACTCCATGGGTGTTTATCTTTTATTTTTTTTAACAGTCTTGTAAAGACATTGTTTTATGACATCTTCATGTTCATATTTGATTTTTATAGTCATCTGGAGCCAGGCATACGTAGGATACCCACAGTGAATGTAGTAATGTTCTGGGCAACAACTGCATGTTAGATATGAAATAAAAGGAAATTGTCAAGTTTGGCTTCTATTTTATTTTTTAAATTGTCTTACTTCAGGTGATTTATTAAATATAATTTTCAATAGCAAGAAGCTGTCTGAGAAAAAGCATTGCAACTCAGCGACCATTCTGTTATTGTTTTCCCTATGATCAGAATTAGATTTTTTTTTTTTTCCAGTTATATGAAAAAAATTATTGCCACAATAGTTTAAGCAGAAAAACCTGCCATACCTCAAACATAATTTTTGACAATGATGTTTGGCAATTCTAATTTGTACACAGTAGGATTTAGCATATGAAGTTTCACATACAGAAGTTATACTTCTCTGAGTGTTTGTTTTTGTTTTTTTTATTTCCTGAATTTATATCAATAAAATAACTAAATGTAATTGAGAAGAAATTGGCTTTTTTGAAAATAAACTTATGGCAAGCTATATTCTCTGCAAACACCAGTAAATGTATTTTTACTCTTCGATTAAAATGTGTTAAGCACCATCTTTTACCTTTTAAATCTCTGAACGTGTGCTGAAAACCACTACCATACTATAGCATTACTGAAGAACACTGATTTAGCTTAAGAAGCTAGTTTGTGGAAAATTTGGAAATGTAGTTCAAAAATTGTCAGAAGATGTAAAAAACAAAATAAAACACTTTTTCTTTGCTTTCTTTGGTGTTTTAGGTTTGGTTCTTTTTTTTAAGTATTCAACATTTATTAAACGTGTGTTATGTTCGATAAAGTAAATATATCTCTAAAATAAAGATTGTTTGAAAGATGGATTTTTTCTTTGTTTTTATTTGGGCCAAAGGTCTGTTTTTTATAAAACGTATCTGTTTTAACTTACATAGTGATTTCAACTACTTCACTATTTTGATTACTAGTTAAAAATAGTTTGCTACATTGTGTATGAATAGCCCAATGAATATTTGGAAAGTGACATAAATATTTTATAATATTAGGGAAAAAGACTTGCATGTCATTAAGTTAAGTAAATCCTGCATTAAAATACCGTCATTGTTTAAGGAAGCCTGAGTGTAATTTCTCAAACAGTAATTTATTTTTTCACATATCTTGAATTTTTTTTATTTCTCTTTTTGCCTCCAGATGCTGGAAATTCGTCAGAGTTCAGTCAGGTGCATGTGAATGCACACACATGTGCATGCACGTGTGCTCACATGCAGGGAGTTGCTAATTTTATCATCTTTCATCTTTTTGTTACTGTCTCAGTACTTTGACTTTCCACACTTTGACTTCCAACGCTTCATATTTAAGTGTGAACTTCCTGGGGGAGCATTCTTCTATGTTTTAAATTACTCAAAATTTCCATCTGCTTTTACTTGACTTGTGGTTGTGAAGATCATGCTTGGCCCATGGGATCTTACACTGTGCCGAGAGGATGTGGAGTTTTGTCAGCCAGGGAAATATGTCTGACTTTTTTTTTTTCCTTCAGCAGCTTTCATACACTTCTCTTCTTGTGTGGTCCCACTAAACTGGGTATATTTAAGAGAAATACTCTCCTTCTCTATCTTCTGTGTGCTGCTCTCTTTTAAGCAGACTGTGTGTAAGAGATCTGAGATCCAAAAAATTTTAATCCTGACTGAAAACAAGGTACTGTTACATAGAAAGGTACTTTAATAGTTGCACATTCCAATTTTATAACAGCATTCCACATTCTGGTTTTACAAAAGTATTAGCAGATCTGCAGTTACCAATAAACATCCCAGTCGTATCTTTGTTGAGTATTTTATGCTTTCTTATTGCAGGCGCTGCTACAGTCTACAGTTCAACAGCAAGAAGCAGCTATTGAAAAACAGTATATTCTAGCAATTGAAAAACATTCACACAAATGTGAAGAACTTCTTAATACTCAGGTATGGATGTGCACATACAAAAATCTGTGATTTTCTTTTAGTTTCAACTCTTTTCTGTATGAAAAAGTATTAACATATATGATCACCAAAGAAAATAATCTTTCACCTTGTGCCCTCAGCATAACAGTAAACACAAATATTTAAAAATGCAAAATAAATAATGACTCTTCATCTGTTGGGATCAAAGGTGGTTTTGAACATTTAAACCTCCTTAAAAACAGATTCAAGAAGAGCATAACACTGAGAAAAAAGGCTCAGAGCAGTGCTTACTTCTTTAACAGCTACCATTTTATGCAGTCTTGGAGAAAATATGAGATTATTTTTTAATTTCATAGTTAAATGCAGGATTTGATTTATTGGGATTTGAAAAAAGTTTGGTCCAAATTTTTTGATGATTCTTAGGTGTTAGACACAAACATCTGTTGCCCAGTCCTATTATATCATAGAAATTTGATGCAAAAATAAAAAAACTATGAGGAATTACATAATATTCAGAAATATATACATGAATAGGTCTATATTGGCTCATTTAACATAATTTGAGTCAAAGCACACTGTATAGCAAATATTTGGAATTGCATCAATTACTGATGAATATCTGAACAGTGTAAACCTGTTTTGTTACTGAATATATCTTGGTTTGAGTTAAGTACAGCTATTGAATCAAAATAATAAAGAACAATAGTATATAAATTAAAAAAAAGCTAATTTGCTAGTGGCATCCTGTTGTGTACACTCACTGCAATCAACAGTATAAACAGTTACCTTTTATACTGTTAACAACAGTTCTACTAAAAATACAAAGGATTATAGGTTATTTAATTTTCTTGGGGTATATTAGCCCTAAATACATCAAAAGTCCACACCATTTCCAGCAGTGTGTTTTATGACCATTTCACTGTTCTGACCATATCAATTAACACTTAGTGCAAACATATATTAAATATATAAGCATCTGTATAAACAGTATGAAGGAAAGATGTAATAGTTCGGAGAAATCAACCCTTGAATGAAAACTACAGTTATTTAATGCTTTCCATAAAGCTCTGCCCAAAAAGCAAATAAGAATGGATTTTGAGAAAATATTTTGTGTTTCTGAAATGAACATAGTGTTTACTGACTTGATATCATTTTCTGAATGTTGAAAGGAGTGAACCTCCTAAATATGGAAGCGTTATAGGATGATGTTTTGACGGTGTGCTTACAGATTGAGCAAAAATATTGCTCCCACGTTCTATTACATTTGAATTGCAAACCAAAAGTTTGTGATAGAAATGTGAAAAGCATGTTTAAGAGGTTCAGATTTACCTAGGGGAAGCACAACAATGCAAGGTACTACCTATTCTTCGTCATAGGACAGGAGATAACACAATGCCCAGTTCACATCGTATGTATGTTTAATTCAATTTAACACCCTCTTTTGGATCCCAGAAAATATTTACATTTTGTTCACAAACTTCCAAGTAATTCCTTATTTATTTCAATCAAGGTTTATCGTCTTGATTTTAATGCAAAACTGGGATTTTGAAGCTTAATCAAGTAAAAAATTATGAGTGCTTATGGTAGCGCTACCAGGTTTAATAAAATAGGATTTATACTGGCAAATTTTGTTCACTCATAAATCTTTGTTGGAATAGATCTGAGAAAAGTGTAGTATGTTTTTACTTCTTTTGAATATATATCTATTAAATGCATGCTTTGGTGTTTAGCATCCATTCTCATTCAAATTATTTTGTTCTGTGCTAACAAGATTCCTGAAATGATTACTAAGGACTATATGCCAAGTCGATGAATATTCTTTGTTAAAGGATTGCACACCATGCATATTTACCTTTACCTGGAGAGTTATGAGTATCTACATAACTGTAAAGATTTTTTTTTGGCCTAGCAGTGCAAGTATGTTCTATACACAAACACAGCTACTTTTTGTTTTGTTTTGGGGGTATTTTTGTTGGTTTTTTGTTTTGTTTTTTGTTCCCTTCTAATACTCCTGCCTTACAAGCAGTATTTGATTTTCAAAATTTTAAGATCATGTTCTGCTGTTTTATTTTCAGTTCCACAAAATTAAGATTATCTCATGTTAAAAACTCCTTTCTCATGCTTTCCCCTAATCCAATTTTCTCCCTAAATTCCCATACACCTTTCTTCCAGAAGTGCCTCTTTGAGAAGGCATTAGGGCTGTTTTTCTCTGCTTGTCTTTAACCTACCAGAGTTTATTTAAGTTTCTGATTTTGAAGCTGTATTTTATCAAGATGTTGTGCCTGCGATGGAGATACATGTTGAGAGTCTGTCTAGAAAGTTACCGTAGTGCTGATACCGTCACTGTGCAAGACTGTATTTTCCAGGGTAGGGGAGGATGTGAAAGGCCTAGTTCTATGATTCTGTTTCTTTCCTGCTAGACAAATTTCTGCAATTCATCTTCGATTGCTACATGTGAGGTTTTGCAGCATACTTGACTAGCTTATAGGTAGCATCATCTTCTACTGGAGGGAACCATCAGCCCACCAACACAAATAGTCTTCTATTGTATATCTTATTTCAGGTCAGTCTGCTAGCTTTTCACTGTACTTTTCTACTAGATCTAACTCCTTAAATCTGTGCTAAAATTGCAGACATTTCTCCAAAATAAAATTCTGACCCATTTTCTATTCTGGCTCTTCTAACAGATGCCTTCCCCACCCGTCCTAAAGTAAGAAGGTTGTGGTCTATTTTCTAGTTTAGTTTCTTCTGCTCAAAGTTCACAGATGCACTATACTGAACTGTATCTCAGTGAACTTTTCCTCTGTATTAATCACTATCACTACCCATTGCTTTTGAAGCAAACACTTGAGAGATGAGCTGGTGTTATCAGATACTGTATATGCCTTGTATTTCTTCATCTAGCCTTTTCTTAGTCCATTGATGTCACTTTTCTTGAGTATCAGATCTCAAATGTCCCCTAGGTCTGAAGCTTATGGGTCTTCTTCCCCCTTTCCTGGAATGTGTTGAAAGGACTAGTTCCATCAAAGAAATGGATGATCACTGTAATGTATGCTTCCTGGGGAGCAATTTCTAAGGCTGCTTTTTCCGATTTTTTCTGCCTTTTTCCTTTTTTTTTTTTTTAATTTATTTCAAGAAAATACACTCTCATATCAACACTTCAGAAAGGAAACCAGGCATTCCCCTGGGATATTCAGGGGCACCAAGTTCATGGTTTCATCACTGAAATGTTGTAGCTAAGCAGCTGTCTGGGCTAGATGCCGCTAGGAGAGGCATGTGGCAATAATCTTCTGTTCCATACTTCAGTATATGGACTATAGAGTGTCTTTTAGCTTTCCCTGTTTTCCAGTGCTGGGGTAGAAATACTTTGTTCAAACATCAAAGTAGGTTTTTCTTCTGAACACAGAGAAGACCTAGAGATTGAGTAACTTTAATAAGCCTGAACCAGAAGAGGCAACATAAAAAGATGGACTAAGTAAGCATCTATTATTTGAAAGTATTTATTATGTAGGACTAGGGTATTCTAAGGAATTTTCTCATTAAGGTTGCTGGACCCATAAGCATGATAGTGTCAAAGGAATTACATGTTTTCACTGGAAGCCCTAGAAATGATGTACCATAATTTTTTCTTGCTATTCAATCAAAGTAGATAGTGTTAGAAATGTAAACAATATTGTGGTTGATTTTTATATTCTTTTTTAAATGGACAATGTGTATTAAGGTGAAATAAAATCTTAAATACTTGCAGCAAATCACTTCTTATTTATTAGAAATCATTTTCCTTCTATTTATGTATCTCTCACTTATCTTGATGGTCTCCTTCCTTACTGTCTTCTAAACAGTTTGAAACAGGCATTCTTGGATGGGAAGGGACTAAAGTGTATGTGAAGTGAGACTCAGATCACACATTTCAATCTCTAAATTGCGACTTGACAATATTCCTATTTTTCTCTATCATCCTGAGGAAAAAGTATGAGATACAAGTGGACATTCTGTGTAGTATTTTCATGCTTGGATGTAATTAGGGGGGCTATATTTTATATGGTATTTAATTATGTTGGTCTGCGTGTTTTCCATTTTGTTTAGTATAAGGAAGAATAAGGGAAGACAAGGAATAGAAGTATTTAATTCTGTAGTTCAGTTGCATGCATATTCCTTTTCTGAGCTGAACTTCTTTTCTTCTACTCAGTAAACACTTAAGGATGTGTCTTAAGAATGAGTGGCCTGCAGTTTTCCTTTGTATAGAGTACATTATGCTGAAATTGTTTCCATAGTTTAAGAAGCCAAAGGAGCTTCTGGTTTAATTGCTGAGACAAAACAGTACTGGAAGTGTCACATAAAAAGGAAAGAACTCAGTTAAATGCCTCGTCTGCGCTTTTGCGTGTTGATATTTTTCATGATGATTTTATGTGAAACGATGAAACAAATCTACAGATTTGTAGATGGAACATTTGAAATAAGTAGAGCAAGCCCCATGTCTTTAATTCTTTTTCCACTTTATCATGATGTTGGTTGTCATTTGTATGATAAATAACAGCTTGATATCTGTTGAATGATGCATGAAATCTTTTACCGTTTTTTGACACACACAGGGAAGTGCTGGTTTAGCTTCAGTTTTGAAACAATGCGCTGAAAGAACAGTCAGGCTAGAAGTTCCATTTGCTAGACCTCAGTTTTTTGGAAGTGTGCAAGGCTTCCAAGAACAGCTTGTGGACAAGCAGAAGACTGGTGTGACAACAGAAATGGGCTGCAGGAATGTGTTAAGATCCTTTACCTTCTCCAGTATTTGGATGATGCATTTTGATGTGTTTTGCATAGCCTTCTGTGAAGAGTACCTGTAAGTCTCCTGACAATTTCTAAAATGTCAAATGTGAAAAGTACTTGTCTTACATAGCAAGTGATTGTTTGTATGCCAAAGAAAACATTTATTCCGCTGTCAGGAAGTATAATTTTCTGTGATTTCAAATCTTGTCTTTGTATCTACTCATACTATGCAACATGTTTGTATACTAATGCTTTTT